GACCTTTTCCCCATCTTGGAACAGTTCAGCAGGAGCGCTTCACTCACTTGATACTCAGAATTTAGTTTGCTCAATTAGACTGCTCTTTAACAGTTGAAAGTTTCCAGTTTAAAACACCGCAGACTACAGATTTTTTAATACCATAATGCTGGAACAGAATGCAAGTGATCATACTATACCACAGAAAAAGCTTTCCAACCAGGGAGGGGGACGAAGGGTCTGTTGGTCATCCTTGTGAATTGCATTCTCTTTTCCCCTTATTGTTTTTTTAGCTAGAAAACCTTTAATACATTAAGATTTCCAATTGTAGAGCTAAAATTTTGTGAACCAGGGGAGCTGAAACTCAGATCCCAGAAGTCAGCTAGGCCATCTGTTTTTTTGTTCCAACTTGAATTCTGAATTAACCTAATGAATCTAATTTCAGTTCTATAGCAATATAGTCAGACATTTCTCCTGAAGTGCAGAACTTAAAAACATGAAATTCATCAAAGAATATGCACCTTTTTTACAGGCCTGGAAAGTGGAATGACAGTTATCCAATTGATAAAGCTATAAGCAGAAGAAAAATTAAACCGAAGCCCCCCAAGGAGCAGACTTTCTCCTTAAGTTGGCTACTTATCTCCAACCTAAAGTAGCTGATCAGTTAAAAACAGAAGACCTTCTTAATAATAGCTTACACTTACATAGCACTTTTCCAGACACTCCACTCAAAGCACTTTACAGGTAATGGGGACTCCCTTCCGCTACCACCAGTGTGCAGCCCCACCCGGAGTCTGGAGACTTCACAATAATTATTGCACATTAAATGTGATATACCAACATATACCAAAGGATTCAAGTATCAGATACATAAATAATAGATGGGACTACATTTATTTTAAATTGCTAAACACTGACAGTAAATTTATAGCCACAGAAATAATTGTATGAATATAACACAAAGCTCATAGATTCTGTAACTTAATCCATGTATTCTGGTATCTACCTGGTGTCTAAACTACACCAAACATTTAATGTCCTGAAAAATTTAAGTAACCCTTCTACAAGAGACTATATACTTTTTTTTTTTCCTTTTTAGAGCGTGGGGAATAGGAGACCCCTGCTGTTTGGAAATATATAAACAGACTTGCAAAGGGATGAAACAAGGGGGGGTATTCATGAATACCCAATCAAACAAAAGTACAGATCTTTACATCAAGAGAACTTTGGTTAAAGCACATACACTATAATTACAGTACAGGCAACATACCAGTAAGTTGGATACTACAATCACAAGACGATTTGGTGCAGATAAACATCAGCAAATCCATGTCACAGTACTCTTGTTGCCTGGAAGACAGACTCTGTAATGCAAGTTTCTCAGCCATGGGGTCTACAGTCTCTCCTCATTAGAGCAGTTGCAATGAAGAAGCAAGGACACATTGGGAAGATAAGGGAGAGCTCCTGCCAGGTCAGCGATATTTGCAAGACAAAAGAACAAAAGATCAAATTTCTGCTTTGTTTGTCCTCATTAACCAACCTTCTTACAATGGGGCTGGTAGAGAGCTCTAATTGCACATTGTGGGGAAGACCAGCTAGTCTGGAGCCTGTGCTCTCCTCCCATCAAGCAGGTCTGTCAGAGATCCTGGCACAACATGACCAGTTACTGACTGAGCAGAGATGTCAAAGAGGAATCCAAAACAACTCACTCTAAGCTTTTGTTTTACCCACTTTGTAAGGGCAGCAGAGGAAATGGTAAAGGTGGCAAAGACCCAGGGAATCCTCAGAGAGGTGAATGAGCCAGTGCTCTGGGAGCAGAGGACAGAGGTGAAAAAGTTAGTGGCCGAGGTCAGTAAGCAAGCCAAGGCAGCAAACAGAGGTGGCAAACTAAAGCAGTCTGCAGGATGCTGTGCTGTGTGCTTCCTCTGAATTGTGGGGTTTGTCGATGAAACGGTGAGGAGGCATTACTCACTTGAGACCCCAATAACAGCCCCACTCAGCTTCGACAGTAGTGCTAAAAGGAAAGTTAATGACTGCAGTGCCATCAGGTTCTGGGATGGTACAGGAAAAGGAGTACTTGTCAAGAATTCTGGTAGCAATGATCCCATCTTCCCAGAGGAGATCAATTGTCACCTCTCCAGCTCAAATCACTATGATAGTTTACTCATCACAGATGTGTAAAAAGCTAAAGCACAGCAGGTCTCCCGATGCTGGACTGGAATGCAGAGATTTTCCTTCTAAAATTAACAAATCATTATCACACATACTGGTTACATTTCAGGGACCAAACCTGAATTTGGGGGGTTAAAAAAATTGGTACAGGTTTCATACTATACCACATAGAAATTCTACTCCGCCATTTAAAATAAAATGTACAAATATGCCTTAAAAATAAAACAGATTGTCCCATTAAGATCTCATCTTGTTGGAAAAAAGAGCATAAGACAGCATTCCCCCCCTTGACAAGAGAGCCACTGCTTTAGAGTAGGAATACTCAACAGGAAATCTTACCACTCCACAATTACAAAACTTAAAACCAGCTTTTAATTCACCTCAAAGCCAGCAGAATACTGCAGTGGAGCAAACTGCTCAAGAGCTCCTTTTTTATATTCTTTTAATCTCAGAACATGACTTACTTAACATAATTAAGTGGATCAGAAATCAGAAAAAAAAAGTGACAAACCCTACCATCATCTACTGTATAGCTGTCCAAGGAGTCTGCATGCACAAAACCTGCATGCACAAAAAGATAGCTAAATGAAACAAAGTCACAGACTATATTTGTGTTCTGTGTTTAAAAAAAAAACTTAAATCAAAGAGAGCTTTAGTGCACAGCCTTTAAATACCAAACAAATCCTAATTAAGTCAATTGAAAGAATGTGTAGAAACACCCCTCACCACTAATCTCATCAATTGCTTATTAATCACTGTGGGCCTAGTTACAAAGATTCGAGGCGCTATAGCAGCCTCTAGTGCAAGTCAGCTGTAATTACAGCCCTTTTTTAAGACGCTCTGTCACACTGTGCTCTTGAGTAGGTGCCAATTAAAAACTGCTTCCCTGAAAGTGGTAGGAACTCAGCACTCAAGAAACAGGTGCCTGGTCCTCGGGTTAGAACTACAGTATGAGTCAAAAGCACACGAGAGCCTCAGAAATGTTACAAAAGAACAGAGGCCATGGTGGCTTATTTGGTAGTAAGTAGCTAACTGATGTTCCAGCTATTTTCTGAAAGAAGCCAGGGTGTTGGCTTCTACAACATGGCTAGGCAGCTTGTTCTATACTCCCACACCCCTTTGGGTAAAGTGTCTGCTATTCTTGGCTTTCGCACTTCTGCACAGTTTCCACAAGCGTCCCCTGGTTCGTGTTTTCTCTAGATGTAATGCGGCTTGGTAGAGGTGAAAAGGATCCGATGCAGATGCAGGAGTCCTTGGGAGGTGAGTAAGCGAACAGAGCAAAACCAGGAGCTGAGTCGTAGTCCGAAGGCGTAAGGTAGGTCGAGATCCGGTAAAGGCACTGGTGGCGACCAATCCAGAACGAAAGACAGATTCATGGTCGAAACGAGAGCGGCAGGGACAAATACGAAAATAGTCACAGGTAGGAAACAATCCAAGGGGTGAGACGAGAACCAAAGGCAAAAGGCAAAAGGCAAAAGGCAAAAGGCAAAAGGCAAAAGGTAAAAGGCAAAAGGCAAAAGGCAAAAGGCAAAAGGCAAAAGGCAAAAGGCAAAAGGCAAAAGGCAAAAGGTAAAAGGTAAAAGGTAAAAGGTAAAAGGTAAAGAAACGCTAGGTAGTGTAGAGCAACAAGAAGTGAACTCAATACCGAGCAGGAATATGCAGGTAAGGGAGGCTTAAATAATGCAGCCTGCCGCACGGTAAGGCATCTGATGAGAAATTAACACGTGTGGCTGCTTTTGTAATTATCACCCTGCTGCTGGAACTGATTAGTCCTCTTGGGGGCTGGTCTGGGCAGGTTAGTGGTCGTGACACTAGAATTCTGCTGGTTTGACTTTGTTGGTGCCCTTGATGACAGAACAAAAGAAATGAGAAAAAGCAGTAAAACTGTCTGTTCTTTTTAAGTTTAAATCGAATGTATATTGTCCTTGATGACTGGTGTTGGTCTACAGAACGTATATACTGTACTGTAGGATTTGGACTGAAAAGTCACAACTATGATTAGGTTTCTTTAAACTCTAAAGCAGTTATTAAAATGGTATTAAACAATTTGTGTCAGTTATAAATGGATTCTACTGTTCCTTTCCTCTGTCCTTACTCTAGTAAGACCAGTAAAGGACAAATGAGGGTGATGGGCTGAAAAATGAATATATCACACTTAAGGATTTGAAATGCTGCCAGTAGTAAAGAGAAAAAGGATTGCACAGATCAAAAACATTTTGTGGTCTTCTCCGTTTTCTTAGTATGACATGTAAAACAAAACATACTTTGAGACACATTTTATGGGTTTAGTCTTTGCAGGCAATTTAGTTTTCTTCTTTGGCATTTTGTTGAGTTGACTTAGTGGGGATTCCGAAGGATTAAAGCCTTGTTTGCCATTTTTTGACAAGGTAAAACACATTTCAACACATTTCACATTTCAAGGCTTTGACAATCAGAATAAAAAATGCTTTAAGATTGGATGGCATGGTGGGACATTGGTTAGCATTGCTACCTTTCAGTGCTAAGGCCCTGGGTTCAACTCCTGAAGTACTATATGTGTGGAGTTTGGATGTTCTCCCAGTGTTTCTAAGAGTGTGCACTTGTTTCCTCCCACAGTCCATAGACATACTGGTCACTTGGCTTCTGGCAAAATTGGCCCTGGTTTGTCTGTGTGTACACTGCAAATTAACTTTTGCTTGGGTCTGGGTCCACTGTGACTCTGCGTTGGATTACGCGGTTATTTCAGAGCATAGTTTCTTTTGTCTGCAGAGTATTGAACCAGAGTATTGTTTTATCACGTCTTGATGTTCTTCTGATGGCTTAGTGGAAAGTGGATTTTCTCCCCTCAATTAACACAGGGCTATTAAGCATTGGATATTCAGACTTTGATAAAACTTTATTTTAGTTGCTGAAGGGCGATTCAGGAAAAAACAGTGTTGTTCTGCCTTTTGGAAAAAAAAATTGATCAAGACCTATACAATATTCCAATTCTACCTACACAATTTTTTGGAATGAATGTTTGCAAAAAGGTTGTATAGACAAAATAGTCTTTTTCATAGTTTGATTTTTGTTAACATCTTAAAAATTGGCAGCTCAACATAATTGTGAATTCCACGGTACAATAGACCCTATTCTGAATTCTTCTGCCTTAATTCAGCCTTGTATTTCTGCATATGAACCACATGGGGACAGTATTAACAACAGAACTGAACATGAGCTGCATTTATCGAGCTCTGTGAATCTGTAAGCGCTGTGTGATGCAACATGCCACGTGTAAATCTAAATAGCATCACAATGTACTTAAAAAAAATTGCTCAATAAATTCATTTCATATGAGAAACCAATGATGTAGGATAAAGTTTAGATTTATACAGTACTTAACTCCATTCGAACGTCATTAGCTGTTTACAGACTAAAAAAGCTTTTTCCATCATGACATATTCACTAAGCATTTTTGACTATAAACTTCAGTGTTAAGAAATAAAAACATGTTTAGAGAGCCTTAAAGAAATATAATCAGTATCCTGTAAAATGTGACACATCAATCATTCATTGTGCTTTCTTGTTAGGAACTAAAAGTATGAAACTTGCATCATAGTACTGTAAATGTGTAATTAATTGGACCTGAGTGTCATGTGATAAAACAGCAAACTTCTCTCCTACTAAAAGGCTTTTTAAAGAAAAACTAAACCTGTGTAACACGGGCTGTTCGTTTTTTCCAGTGGGGTTGTATTTATTCACACATTCTACTCTGAAACTCAGTAAAGGCCATGTGATTAATCACAAGATTAATCTGCAGTTACCTGCAGTTTTTTTAAATCAATAACTTCACACAGAACTCCAAGTGTAAAAACAAATTTAGGAGGATTTTTAAAATAATCAAAAGTAATATGAAAAATATTCCTGTGTTTTGCCATAATGATTGTTTGTAATCATATGTTGTAGAGTTGTATCACTATCAAAGGCAGAACATGGAAAAAGTGGCATTGTGAATCACTCAGTGGTGCCTGGCACTGAAAAGTGGTGGACCCTCACTTAAGAGACTTCTCATTTTCCCATTCCTGTCAACGTTATTGTGCCAGACAGGTCCCTGACCTTACTTTAAACTTCTTTGCAACATCACCATCAGGTGAGCAGAGCTGAGACTGGAATTCAAATGGAGGAAATCTGTCCACAGGGTTTGACAGCAGGCAGAGTTTATCAGGGGATGATTCAGGAAGAGAGTCTCAAGATGGAATCAGAGGGTTTGGTGCATCTTCAAAACAAGCAGACTGTTTGTTCAACCGGAGTCAATGTCTGAGCAGAATGGACGCAATTCGGCTTCGAGCAGTGGAATAACTAGCATCCTGTGCACGCAGCATTGGCACAGATTTCACACATATCAGGCTGGGTGGCCACTTTGGCTGGAAAACAAACAAGAAACGTGTTAGCATTATGTAAACTGCATTTTCTGCATGCTTTTTAAAATAAAGTTTGGAGTCTTGTTTTGTTGTGTGTGCAGTAAGTAAGCAAATTTTCAGTGGTCTTAAATGACCTGCATGGAGCTATTTCAAAAGAATCTTGTATTTATTTTTTAGTCTTTCTTAAAAAAATCGATGAACAACAACATATTACTGCTTAACATAGAGCAGCTACTGATTGTCCAGTCACACATTTATTTCAAGACCTGTTAAGAGAATCTTCATATAAACATGAAGTGTAAGTTCTTATTTGAGTATGGTGCCTTTGAAGTTGTGGATTCAAGGCTATGCCATATCACCTAGACTGAATACCTGATAAGACTAAAGTTACTTAACATCCATTTTGTTGCTCAGTGACATTAATAAAATGTGTTAAATATTGACATCTTCTGTTTGTAATGTGATTCCTAGAATTATTTTATTGATTGTTCATTGACCTGTAATCCTCATTCATTTTTATTTTTATTTCTTTATTATTATTATTTCAACTGCTTGCTGTCTGTTTTATTACCTTGGGTGACATACTTTTTGTTCTTATTGTTTTCCAAGTGAAAGGAGAAAAATATCACACACAGTATACAGTACTGTATATAATAAGAGTCTTTTCTTGCCAGACAGCATAGACTCTTACAGTACCTCACATTAGAAGCCCATGAATGAAAATAAGACACATTTTTTTCAGGCTTTTAATTGGCTAAGTGACTACTATTATGCAGTTATATTATTATACTATTATACTGAAATTATGCTAAATTTAAAAACTAAGAGTGAGAAAGTTACATTAGAGTTGTGAAAATTACAGGGTAAGCATGAGGTGTTTTTTTTTTTAATTTAAGAGGACTAGATAAGCAGTTCAGCCTGCACAATGATCTAAAGAGCACGATTCTGCACATTTACAGTCAAACTGAAAAGCTCACAGTGCAGAACTGTTTCTTGGGAAACAATGCACATTGCTATGGTAATCAATGCAGGACACAGGTACAGTGTGAATAAAACTGTGTCATTGAGGCAGAGCCCTAGATTCCTAAGATGATCTCCTGGCCAAATGGAGGTCTTTCCCTTTCTCTTTTTGCAAGATGCGTGCTAGGTGGGTGTTAGTGCAACACTAACCCAGTCGACTGAAAATCATGCTTGCCCCTTGAGCCTGACACACATGCTGGAACTCCTCAAGCAAGACAGGGTTGGAGCAGATGGCCGCGATGCTCGTTTGTGCCAAGCGAGGGTTTGTCAGACTATCATCACTCATGAAGTCCCTCAGCTTCATCACTGACTCCAGGGAGAAGCTGAAATCCCCATCCTAGAAAGTCAAAGCAGCAAATGAATGGATTTTTCTGCAGCTTGTTGAAAATATATAAGTAATGGCGCTTGTTGGAGTTGAAAAGGTTGGAAGATCATGGATGGAAGTTACATTGGATTAAATGTTTAAGGAAATAAACATTAGAAGCTTCTTCCATTATTTCATGACTATGCATTACAACTGAAGCTTGCAATCAAATTAGCATATTAACAAGGTGTGCATTAACCACAATAATGTGATATGAAATGAAACACTGGAATCCACATTTGTATCTGTGATAAGTAATTGTATTACATAGGGGTTTAAATGTTCAGGTTGGTTCTATTGAAGAATATGGTCTATAATACAGGGGATACAGGTTGTCCTGGTAGACCATACATTTTATTTTTAAAGCAAAATAGCAGAATAGCAAAAAAATAAATAAAACTATACAGTCACATCTAAATTTGCAGAAATGAATACATGCCACACAATATAGTCAATTCTATTTTTAATTAACGCCTTTCATAAAATGCAACATTCATTATTCAGTGTTAACATTCCCTTTATGGCTTTATTCATAAATCTCTTAAGATATAAATAAATCAGTACCCAAGTACACAATGTATAGAACTGCAGAATAATTAAAAGCATTTATTTTATGGATCTGACTTACTGTATGCTTTTCACAGATGTGATTGAGATTCCGTGTACAGTATGCCCTGCATTTGAAAGGAACAGGAGATGGGAGAATTCTTGTCCTTTTATTGTTTTGTATTTGAATGAATGGATGAGGATGAATTTATTCAATAGCATCTGAAAGTGTTTCCATTCTGCCACCCACATGGGTACTACTGTAGGTTAGCACATTACATACAGTGAAGGACAAATTGTCAACCCCTTGCTTCAGATGATTATACGTTAGTTATATAAGTAAATGCAATTTCAATTACTTATTGGTATGGCAGTGTGATATCCTACAATGTTGTTTTTTTCAATACCCTTTCATTTCTATTCATCTTCTTCTGATACAGAGCATGGTTGTTTTGCAACACTGGTATTACAAATCTATACCAGATTTGAAGTGAGAGCAGCACAGAATGGCTCACCTTCCACTGGCATGTGAAGTGTTGAGCCATTTACCAAATTCAGGGCACTACATTGCCTAGAGGAGAACCTGAAACAATTTGAGATGTGAATGTGATTTGCAGACAATCCTACAGACTCACTGGTACTCATCTAGCTCCACGAGTCATTGTTGTGTAGCAGGCCGAGAAATCACATTGTATTTGGAGGGCAACTGTGTTCACTGCTTAGAGAATCCTTGTCATAGCCTGCTAATGACATACTGTACAGTAGCCCAGACAGGCATTGATGGAGTCTGGACATCAGTCTTAGGCAGTTGCTTTATTTGCTTTTTTTAGGCACAGTTATGTAGATTAGTACAAAAGTATGAGGCTAATGTCATAGAACGGACTCTAACAGTGAAGTTCTGTTGCTTCAGGGGTTAGTTTTCATGGGAGGAATTTTCAGTTAGGTTATGATCGGTTTGGGATTGGGGAGCTCTTCTGCATGTCACAGTTATAACCTTCTTTAGCTGGTTTATTTCCTTTTTGTACACAAATGACAAGAAGCTGACAAGGTATTTTTTCTGTTTACCATTTCAAAGGCAGCAATTTAAGCAATAAACAGTAAGGAGGATTCCATGACTTTTTAGGCCACACAATCACAGTACCTATCTCCATTTATTATGCAAGTAAAACCTTACACTATTAATCTTCGCCTGCCTGCCTGGAATAGAATCTATCTTTCTGAAAAACAAAAATTAACTTCTGCGGTATATAACTTGGCACCTTTTCCTCAATTACCTCAGCGAAGCTTCCTGATAATTAATAAATTCCATGCCTTTCAGCACTGAAGAGTCACATGTTAGTTGCAGCATGATAAATTTACATTCAATTCTTCTTGAAACGCAAAGCCATTTTAATTGCAATATTAATCTTAACATGGTTTAATACTGATGGAATCTCACTTCAAGGAAGCAGATGTTTCTGCAGAACCAAAATTGAAACAAAACAGTCTAGAATGGTCAAATAGGCTCCTTCATTGTAACTTTTCTTTTGTTCTTTGACCTAGAGATGAGCAATAAAAATAATAATAAACTTTATTTTATTTAGCGCCTTTAAAGGTGGATTCTCAAAGCGCTTTACAGGATGTTTAGTTGGAGGCCCTACAAATTTTGGCTTTCTTTTAAATTATTGGATTGTTGTCAATCTTGTTACTCCAAGACTACTAAGTTACTAGTAGAAATTCAAATAAAGAGCATCTTAATTCAATCACGTGTCTGATAGCATGTGTACTGTACCTATTTTAAATCTTTTCCATTTAAAAGAGCAAAACTTTACCTCTCTGAGGGATATAACAATACTTTAAATAGTTTAAATGTCACGAAAGTAGGGCTGGCACCTTTCATGTATTCTAAAGAACCATTCCATGCTGAATTGAAAATGTAGTGCCTTGTTTGAAATTGATACTGAAAGTATTTTTTTTTTCTCTTATTTTGCTCCAAAGGCTTTCATAGCAGATTTTGAAAGTCTGTTTAATCCGTTATCACCAGTGCTGGACAAGTTAAGCAAATCCATAAAAATGGATTCCGAGTTTTACTCTCTGCGCATGCTCCAAGACAGTCAAGATCAAACAGATATTTGATCAGCACTGTGTGCTGTGTATTTTCCATGCCTTGTGCTTTGCAAAGGTTATTAAGGGCATGTTAAATATATGACATGTCAGGTTTAAGATGAGGGAATAACATATTCTGGTCATGCAGCAACAGGATTAAGAAAACCTCCTTGAATGCATGACAAAGTCAATCCACTTGTAAAACAAATTGGTTTAACACAAACAATATTTTAATCTTTGCATGCAACCAAGTGCTAAAAATCTTTTCTAGTATGAAGTTACATTACTTTACTTCAAGATAGTGGCAATTGCAGTAGTTTTCTCCCAGGAGTGAAACCCATCTCAGTTTCAGTCCCATCAATTAAGATAACATATGAAAAGCATGATTGAATTACACAGATTTGATGTTTTTAATGCAAAAGTCTTAGAGTAAACATTGTACTGATTCACCTTCAAAACAGATTTTAATGAAGGAGCAAAATCAAGCTGAATCCAATTGTATAATTACTGAAGAGGAACAAGTAATAGGTTTATTCCATGCTGAAAAGAAGAAGAAAGAGAACACAACGGCCGAAACGTTGTGTTCTCTTTCTTCTTTTTTTCAGCATGGAATAAACCTATTACTTGTTCCTTTGCAGCCTACGCATGCTGATGCAGCTACCCACCTGAACTATTACTAATTCCTGAAGATTCATCAGTAGGTGAAATAGTAATTATTTATTCTCTCTCTGTTGAACCAAATAAAAGATGCTTAGCATATATAAACTTGAAAAATAGTTATGTGTGTTAATACAAAAATTACACCTCTTTTTCATACGTGTTAGGAAACAGGTAAATACAGTACCTGAATCAGCTTTTAGTGAAATGATTAAACATTGACTTACCACAACCTTCACACTTTGGGAGGTGCACATCACACTGGCAAGGAGGATGAAAACTAAAAACATTCTCATTTTCCAGATTAGATGCAAGCAGTGTCCAGAAGTTCAACAAGCAGCCCAATTTAAGATCTGGATTGTGCAAATCCTTGTCTTAAATGCTCTTGGGCAGTTTACTAAGTAACCTATTAAATGTCCGGGATTGGATAGCGTCTTACTTGCTATAGAGCAGCAGAGAAACAATGGCCTACAGGACATCTTGTCCTTTTAATATCTGTGTTTAAGCCCCCGTAACATGTCTTGCAGCTGTTTCATTGCAGCAAGACATTTTGTTCAAGTCAGAGGTACAGTAAAGTTTAGTTTTCTTTTGGGTACATTACCTGCCTGCTTATTGCAAACCCCAGGGTTTACTGCATGTAAACTACTACTGTACATAGTAATCAATAGAAAAGCACTGTAGTAAGCAAAATTAGTAAGCAAGGTCAAAGAGACACATTGCGTAAACCTGGTTCTGCATCGGAAAATCCCCAAGGTGTGTTATCTATAACAGAATCTCTGCAAAGATTACTTTCACTGCCTTACTTGGTGTGGAACACTGTTTCCAGTCAAAAATCAAGAAGCTATGACCTGCAAAAAAAATGATTTAATACAGTCACTGATTTTGTTCAATCAAATAGGTAGTAGTTTATATACCATATAATTGATGGTATTTTACAAAACTCTTATCTTGCAGAAATACAGTCTTTGCATTTATCACAGTGACTGAGGTTTCACCATAGTTGACTTACGTTATATACAGCAGTACCTTCCTCTTTAAAATCTTCTTGATATTTCTACTTCAAGAAATTCGAAGCCAATATGTAGTGTGTGCGTGTTTGTGTCCGTGTGTGCCCTGCGATGGATTGGCGTGCTGTCCAAGGAGTATCCTGCCTTGCACCCATTGCTTGTTGGGATAGGCTGACTCATGACCCTGTATTGGCTAAAATGGTTAGAAGAATGAATGGATGGGCACCACACATAATAAAAAGGTTTTTTGTGATACAAGTGATACACTACAATAAGAAGATTCACATTCCGAACCAACACTCACAACAAACCATGTCATTTGAAGTATTATTGAATACTTGTTTCAAAACAACCAATTTCATAGATCTGCACCAATATATTAATGAATCTCAAAACATCAGCAATATGTAATTGCTGGTCATGTTTACTGTAATTTGTGGCAATGCAACACATACTGTATGATGTAAAGTGACCCAAACACCACATACATTTGGAAAACAGTTGAAATACTGTACTGTGTCTCAAGACCTTTTCTGACGTTTAAACATGTTCTAATAAAATTGTTACTGTTTCAAGCATTACTGTTAGCTTCAAATACTGAACTTTGGAAATTTCAATATTAAGGATTGTTTAAACCATGGACGTTATTAGCCAAACGTCAAGACTTGTTATTAATCCCTCAAGCTCAACAGTACCGTTGCTGTTAAATATATTGTTATATCTGCTTGCTCAGAAATTTGCCCTAGCAATATTCTGCACCAACATTGGTTTTGATGAGCTAGAAAATGTAAAAATCTTGATTTACATGTGTGTCGACTTCTGTCACTGTAGGTATTATATGAAACTCACTTTGAGCAGCTGTAGTCTTTGCGTGCAGTGAACGGATAAAAGTTAAAAGAATTACCTATTTTGTGTTATGTATGACAGTCTAACAGTTGATAGAACTGGTGGTGGTATTGCATAATGTACAATGTATCTCCTTTATCAATGCACTGTCTATAATATCTTTCAATAATACTGTATGAGTCAGTGGTGTAAACAATTAACAGAACTCTTATACTTGATACGTAGGATTTATGAACGATCGTTAAACCTTTGTAAAGAATCTTAAAACATTTTTTTCTACTTAAAACCCTACCACAGGGAATGCTGTATTTAAATTGTGCTCTTTTATTATTCCTCTTAATGCTATGATTCATTTTTCCACTTCCAATAAAGATAGTTCCCTAGTAAGGATGTGCCTTGTTTTAAGAGGTTATTTAGAATTTATGGAGACGGTGTAGGTGACTCTGCTGGAACACATAGTAAAGCCTATGAAGTTATTTGCTCAGGAGTAGCCCTTATCCAGGGTACCCTAAAACATAAACATTTTATATAGTTTATACAGTTTATATAAAATTGCAATTACCATAAAATAAAAGTTACCCAATGACAGGGTGAACTAACAGACAACTCCTCAAGGTTGCATAGCATCAGCTCATATAAAAATAATCCCTTTTTTTCTGTCAACAAGTTCTAAGCAGTAACTGAAGTCAACCCTGTGCTGAGATGCAGATTTGCCCTCATTCAAGTGTGTTACCTGAGATACAATCAATTGCACTTAAGCAGAAGAAAAAACACTTGACATCTATTAAGAGCTGTGTAGTCAGAAATAAGGGAGAAAATATTTAATTGACATGTTGAGACCTTCTAAACAATTGTATGCTGATGTTGTTTGAAATTTCATAATTTAGATCTCAAGAATGGAGATCAAGTATGTGCATCATTTAACACTAGCAACGTACAGCAATACCTCATAACCAAGTCGGAGAGCTGCTTTTCTACACTAGTTGTCTGCTTTCCCTTTATAGAAGCATGGTGTCTACACCCCATACAATCAATCTTCATGAACGGAAAGGAGAAAAGAAAACCAGTTCCAGAGCTGAGCAAAACAGACACACCTCAATCCAATCCAAAAATAAATTAATCAAATTCACATTCACAATCAAAAGGTTACTAAAACGTTTTCTGCTAGTTCTATAGCTTACACCTGGAGACTTCAGTTAATCCTGGTACCAGCATGACCACCTTTTAGCCTGGTCTTGGCATACATCAGAAGCTTTTCAAGGTTAGGCCTAGTCTTGGGATAGGAGATCTGTAAGGATAACTGTATTGTTACTGTAGGTGGTGCTGGTGAACTAGCAGGTGGCACTGGGGGACAGTAGGTGCTTTCCTTCAGATGAGATGATAAGCTGAAATCCTGACCACTTGGACATCAAATAGCATGTTTTAAAAGAGTAGGGCTGTTAACCCTAATGTCCTGGATCAATTCAACTCCCTTCTTGTAAAATCTGAACGAAAGTTCCCTCTTAGTGTAAACATCGGTGGCTGGTGATGTTTCATATGCAAAGTGCTTTGTGGCCCAATATAATTGAAAGGAATTAATTAATCTTAAAGCACTATTCTGTCGTCTCCTCTAAAGATCCAGCTTCTCAAGTTTCCAGACAATTCTGCATAATACTAAAGATTAAACAAATAAACACGGTGGGGAAACACACATACTTCCAAACACTACAACTAAATTTTCACCACCAAAACTTTCCTTTCACTTCCTTTATCAGGTCCTACACAATGTGACAACCAACAACCTCACATGCAAGAAGAGCTCTGACCAACCACCCATCCATGCTTTCCTAACATTTTCTAACCACTCCTTCCAATTCAGGGGAGAACTGGAGCCTGTCTCGGCAAGCACTGGGTGCGAAGCAAGGTGAACCCAGGACAGGGGGCCAGTCCATCGCACTGCACACTGACAGACACGCACACACTCACATCAGAGCCAATTCCCACAGAAGCCAGTTCTTCTACCTGTATGTTTTTGGACTGTGGGAGGAAACTGGAGCACCTGGAGGAAACCCAGATGAACATGGGAAGAAAATATAAAACACCATATGGATAGCACCCCAGATCTGGAATTGAACCCAGGACCCCAGCACTGCAAGATAAAAATGCCACTGTACCACTGTGCTGCCATAACTTCTCTACAATAAAATTTACCCAAAGCCCAACAGATCTTTTTGTACTCTGTATTTCAGGAAGGTTCACCTTATTCTGCTCGTCACCTTGGTGACATAAAACGAATCAAACTGACAAAAATGAACAATAAGACGACTACACTTTAGCGCAATGCAAGTGCGCCGTGAAGCAACAACATTGTAAAATACTATCTTACTTGTACAGATAACATGGCCACAGAGCAGTAATATACAGTAAACACCCTGTTGGCCTGTGTTCCATGTTTACAGTGAATGAGTGCAACAAACAAAAATCACGTTACTAGTTTGATAACACAAACACTGATGCAGCTTAATTTAAGAGTTAATGTAACTGAGAGCTGAGAAGTCACAGTTACTGTCTATGCCAGTGAGTCTTCAGAAGGCACCACAAAAAATGCGGTTTGGAACTTTCTGATTTAGGAAGCAGCTTTGATTTCTGTAGATAATTCCTTCAACCACTGAGGAGGTAGAAGAATGAACAGGCTCAGGAATGCAAAGAGGGAGGAGTAACAAAACTCTGATGAGAGAACACCAACAGAGAGAGGGAGTGTTATATATATATATAATTTTTTTTCAAAAGTGCATTATATTGAATTTTACATTTTTTTGTTTAAGGAAAATAATACAGGTACTTTGTGTGTGCACAATTTGCAATGGGAAATTACATCCTTTAGATTTCGGTAGGTGTAAGAGTTTCATTATTGGTAATATTTCACATCTGCAGCACGTGTTCCTTTTTTATATAGAAGATGAGCCCATACATCGAACATCCTGTATCAAAATATATTCTACCATTCAGGAAATGCGTAATGTTGAAACAGATGCTCATTCACCTTCCCACACAGAGAGGCCAAATGTACTGTAATCGCCTAACACAACTGATTAAACCCAAAATGAAAAATAAATGTATATCTAAAAAATGAACCTGCCCTTACAATGTCTTGAAAAAATATGAAAGCCCATTAAGGAAGAACAGGATATTTTTTTATTTACAGTGCATTTCAGTGAATAACAAAACAAAGATTAGGACCCTATCCATATTTCCTTTCAGACGAGGCTGAAAAATAGTTGTTATTGAAGGGAGTCTAATGTCATTCATTATCGTTAGAACTGACAGAAACATTATAATCTAACCAATGGTTTTGATTTTATTATTGAAATATGCCTTTATATTGATTTGATTTTAATAGACTGTAGGATTATATAGCAGGGACTGTTATAATGGAAATGTATGATAACTCTGACTGCTACTGTATATACTGTATCCTCTGCTTGACACAGTCAGTAAAGTAGCATGCCTCTCAGTAAAGCAGTTTATTTTGTCTATTCAAATGGGCAGCTTTGTGCTTCTCTTCTTATCCTGACATTCTGTCATCAATACAAAGTACAAAAATTATTAAAGATTAAAGTCTTTTACAGGCGAAGATGTCCCCTGCAGACACAGGAGTGGAGTGCAATCAGTTCTAATCATTGCTATATGTCCCTGAAAAGCATTACAACCTTTAGTCTGATTGGCTGTCCTCCTCCTGCCTTGAGAGATCTGAAAATGCATTGAGAAATTTCAAGGCTTATTCTTGAATCATACCCAACAAATCCACACACTATTAAAGGCAACATGATTTCAGACAACAGTAAATTACCTTTCAACCATCAAGACACATCAACATGTTATTGCACTAGTTCAGGTGGGTAGCTGCGTCAGCATGCTTAGGCTTCAAAGGAACAAGTAATAGGTTTATTCCATGCTAAAAAAAAAGAAGAAAGAAAACACAACGTTTCGGCCGTGGGGCCTTCTTCAGGTGTGCTCACACCTGAAGAAGGCCCCACGTCTGAAACGTTGTGTTTTCTTTCTTCTTTTTTCATCTTTTTTTCAGCATGGAATAAACCTATTACATGTTATTGCACCGCTTCTTCTTCTGCAGTGAGAATTGCAATTTGTAGTCAATATATCCTCGCATTCAAATTTTACCTGCTTTGTCCAATACAGGGTCACAGGAAAGCTTGAACCTATCATGGCAAGCAAGGGTTGCAAGGCAGGATACTCTTTGGATGGGATGCTAGTCCATCACAATTTTGCCAGAGCCCAATTAAAGTACCAACCTAGTACCCCTACACTGCAAGGCAAAGTAGCAATGTTAACCAATGTGCCACAGTACCGTCCATAGCCAACACAATATAACCATTTTAAAAATCTCAAAATATGTGATGTGAGTGGAAGAGTGATAAGCTCACACAGTCTTCCGTATCAGTATAGCTCTAGATTGTCATTTTCATCCCTAGCTTGTTAGAGGCCCAAAAGATAGAGCTCACTCATGTTACAGTATATCTTTAAATGTTCTCTGTTGTCATGCCATTAGAATAATACAGTACTCCTGTTTGTTAGAAAGCTGTCACAACTTAATCTTTAAAAGAACTGAATTTAGATATTTCATATTAGATTTTGGGGTCATCGTTTCATTTTATTTCCATCAGTACTGTGGGAAGTTTATCTACAGCCAATATAATATTACTATAATATCTTATACACCAATATAATAGTTATATATGGAACACCTGAGTAAATCTGTTCTCGAGTTATAGTGTTGTAAATTACGGTGCCTAATTTATAATGCAGACATATTCTGACTATGAAATAATGAGAGAAAACACATGGCATGTGGAATTGTCTGTGTTCACAATTACAACACTCTGTTGAAATAACTTTTGCAATACTTTTGAAAATGTCAATATAAAATGTGTTGTATTCTGACATGCTACATTTCGTAATGTAATGTTTGTTTTATCACATAACTTTGTAAGAATAAGATTTCAAATAAAACGTGTTTAAATATTATTTAATTGATGTGGTGGTAAAAGTACAAAATGCATAATACCAAAACGTGCAATTCTATAAAAAATATTATGCAACTCTGTTAAATAAGTACAAAAAAAACATACAAGGCACAGCAGTTACTGTAACTTAAAGAAAAATACAGTATTATAGACATTTTCTCATTTCCAGAATTGTTTTTTTTCCAGAAAACAATACAGAAGTAAAGACATAAGACATGGCAGTACAGACACAGGCTACATCATTATATCAGTTTTAAACAACTGCTTAAGATGCTTTTCTTCAAACCGAAAGAAAACATCTAACAGTGGTATGAAAAGAGCGGTATAAAAGTAGTTTAAATTTTGTAACTGGAGATAGGTTGCTTTATGCAACATTCTATTCAGAGAATACAACTGATCACATCATGTAATAAAGTAAAAAAAAAAACAATGGAAGTACTCAAATAATGGAAGAGCTTATTAACCCAGCTTGAATTAATTCATTTTTCAATGTTACTAGCTGTTCTGTGTGAATGGTGCATAGAATATTTTTATCACATTGGCCAAGTGCCTCATTATGCAGCGGAACTTGTAGAGTTCTTAATATATTTATACCATATAAACACAAATCAGTCACATTATCGATAATGATGATAATTACATTTGCATGAATACACACGTATACACAGGACAGTCTATCATTTACAGGTTTCTTTAACAGCCAGTGCAAGCAGCAAACGCGCAGATCTCGCAGATGTCATGATCAACGGATGCTGAAAAATGAGAAACAGAAGGAAACACACCAAGAAAATTAATATCATGTAACTGTCCCCTTCTACTTCCTGTCCAGTTAACAAAACAGCAGCTAAGGGAACCAGTCAACATTTACAAGTTTCAAAAAGGCTCAATAAAATTGAAGCATTCAGTTCTTTCCACCCATATTAAGTCACATAACGCAATTCAATATAAAAGTATACACATTTCTATAGTCTTCTCACATTTTTGAAGAGGCGAGAATGATGTGGAAATACCTCAGAATAAAACATACATGTTTCAGTATTGAACCAAACTGATCACGGTTTTGAAAAGATCAAAATCTGTTATGCTAAGATGTTTCTAACTACTGGATATGAATACAAACAGGATTAGCTGAAACATGAAACATTTGCACTTTAAACCTCATACGTACTGCTTAATGTCAGACAAACAGGGACAGGCTGTCCATTAATATGTCCAAGTATTTCAACTTGCTAACTCTTAATACTTTTTGAATGAGATGTAATTATTATATTGCCTGATTTATGAAGTAAACCCTGTTTAGCTCTGATAAGATATAATAAAAGCAAGCAATGAACTCGCTTTGACCTCAATTATTGTATGTAATCATTTTCTGGACATGTTGCTGAGGACGTAGGCATATTTGCCCGACTTGATATTTTGAGAATAAGAATTTCTTGCAAGTGTATAGTGCATATGATATGTAGGAGAGGATTCATGGTATGCAACTCCAATCCACTGCACATCACTGAACTGAGAAATTCCTTATTCTTATGATCAGTATCATGTGGTTTTTAATGACTATGTAGTCAGCACCTTCAGATACAGTATGTCTTATCTGAAGAAACATGCAGTGCATTGTTTCACATTACCTTGCTGAATGGAAAAGTGTCACCTACTGGACACCTCTTACACAGCAATCCAATTTTTCCTTAGAGGTGTCTCATTGTAATACTGTCAAGCACCAGCCTTGATTCTGATGAGATCAGGCTACATAGAGATAATGTTGCAAGGTGGGTTCTACGGAGACATTGACTCTAAAGAAGCCTCCATGAAATTATGTTTTATATTTAATCAAAAGTGTTTGTAAGCACGATCGCTGTAAATGTATATTTTTGTTTGGAGAAAAAGATAAATACCGAGATACAATAAGGCACAAAGCATTCTTACAGATTCGCACACTACTGTATGTTGAAAGTTTAATATGAAAAGATACGTAATTCCATTTGTTTCACTTTGAGTTACAGCCTACAGAGCTGAAACAGGAAATGTGACGCTCATTCAGTTTGTTAGACGTCAATTTGATTTGCTTATTTTAGTTGGGCATGTTTTGTCATTCTTTGGGACTGTAAATATTTAGTTTTAAAAATCTGAAAGATACCTCTAAGAAAGCACATTATAATTTATGAATTGTGTCTTGTGGTTTTTTTTTAATTCTAATTATTGAAATTAATTATTGACTTTATTGGGTTAATAATGTACTGATTTGTGAGCTATTTGTAGCCAGGGGAGAAGGCAGTTTAGTTAGTTCTTTAGATTCACTTTTGCTTGACTAAACACAGGTCCTACAGGAGCTTATTCTGGGACTGCTAGAATACAGTGAATGCCCAGACTAATCGATGAGTTCCTTCTGACACTTACCAAGTCTGAAGAAGGCCATGCCTGCACCTGGTTGGTGACACAAAGGCTGGAACTCCATAGGCAATGCTGGATTGTCACAGACAGCAACAGAGCTGGTCTTAGCCAAGCGAAGGCTTCTCCCAGCACTGCTGTCCATAAGGCTTTTCAGAGTCTTCACAGACTCCAAAGAAAAGGTGAAATTTCCTTCCTAGGAGAAGAGAAGGAGCACAATGGACTTTTCAAAACAGTACACTTTTGCCAGTATTTGTGACAGAGGTACAGTAGGTTTGAAAATAGCAAACACCCACCACCACACCCTGCTGTTCTCCCATATCACACAGTACTTTATCGAGTGTGCGTATGTTCTAAGGTGGTGGCTGGTAGGTGGTGGCAAACTGCATGGCGGTCAATGATGAAAATGCAAATACCACTTTAACAATGTAATCTAACTTGCTCACGAGAAAACTGTTCAGCAATAAGCTTAAAATAAATTATTACATTTTGGGTTTTATGTGAACTTCACCTGATTAACCCTAAGTCCGTTATTACTGGAGCAATAAACAGGTAGGATGATATTTAAAGAGAGCACATAATGTACTTGTTTGGTAGAATACAAACAGAGGAAATCTAAAAGACATCCATTTGAACTTTATGGAGTTAGGTCTTCACAATGATTAAGTGCTGATTTGTTTTTTTCTGGGCATCCAAAACAACTGTAATATGTTGGAAGCACTTTTCCCCCACAAAACACATTTGACCATAGTGATGGGAATACTGAGTTTGCTAAGAGTATAATTATATTTATTGTATCACGATACCTTTTGCACATAGCATTTCTGCACTTACTAGCCCAACATTTATGTACTATAGTTTGCAAACTCACATATTACTCAAACAACCTCATTTTATTAAACGAAATACTTGTTGAAAGATTGTTTCTCTTGGTAATCTTGTAATGTCAAAAGGAAGATGATCAAATATACTGCCTGAAGTTACAGTAAGTCAAACTGCCATCATATACAGTAGCCCTTGAAGAGTCCTCTGAAGTACACAGTATTTAAAAATATAGTGTTTCCGGAGCTCTTAATAATTTAATGTGTTATTTAAATATGGATATTTATCAATAAACAACAATTTTAAACATGAAAAACTGAATGTGAAGAAAGATGCTTACTTTCACCCAGACAGCATCTGAAAGCACGCTAAATACAACAAAACAGAGGACGACTGCAGACACACTCTTCATGTTGTTCAATGGCATTTTCTTTCTCGTTACTTCAGTCGCTCTTCTTGTGAACGTCTTCGATGGAAGTTAGGTTCGATGTCTCTGCCCATTGCCAACTTGCTCTCCGCTTTTAAAGATTGACAGGGGCTTAGTCAGTAGTCATGTGAGCTAACGATTTGCCACGTAGTTATGGATGAAGTATTTCTCCTGGTTAATGTACAACTAAGGTATTACAGTTTTATGATGTCATAAAGGGGGAATTCATACATTTTCATTGATCTCATCAACACTAGGTTTCATTTTTTCCTTCAGATGCAGCCCCCTGCTGAGCCAGACATGGAACCCAGTGGAAGTTAATTAATGATCTTGTATAGACAATAACTCAGGAAGCCAACTGCAAAGTCTTGGTAGTTACCTGTCATTTGGTTTGTCACGACCTTCAAAATACATTTATTCAATCTTACTTTTTCTCTAGAAATTACACATTAAGCTTGTGCCCACATTAAGCTTGTGCCCTAGGCTAATATAAGGCTGAGATTTTACCCCTGTGTTCCAAGACCATTGCAAGCAAGTGCTCTCAGGAATGTTTTGCCACAGCTGTATATGTATTTTGTTGTGTTCTTTAACACTGTATTATTTGAACACGTTACCAAGTCAAACAAACAATTTTTCATGCCTTTGCATTGCAGAAACAGGATATCTGAATGCATTTATTTCTTTTAATGTGGATTACGCAGGTAGCCAACAGCACAAATTCTGTAAATTTGACAAATGCTCTGTATTCGATCTCATTAACATTTGCAGACTATTAAAACAAAGCTCCCTATACATGATCATTTCATTGTTTGAAGTAAAATTCTTGCTTCGTGTATTCTTTGAGAAATAAAAAAATAAAATCTTGCTGCCAAGCCTTCCTTCCTTAGTACTATAGGCTAATATCCTCATAACTTTTATTAATGGCAATTCATCTTTATCAGAGAGGTTTATAATTGACCTTTGTGTCATAAAAGTTCTAACAGATGATGAGTAGCAGGTGGATCATGCACTATAAAAATTGTTTACACATCATGAAAAATTGAACTAGCAATGAGCAATAAATTTAAAAGCATAGGTCAGACTGTTTTTGTTCTGTCCATTATATCATATTATGTTGTACATATCCATCATGATTATATATTGTTTGATTTGAGTGGAAAACAAAGTATTCTAACACTGGGAAAGAAGTATCGGATGTGACTGACTATAAATAATGTGTTGCGCACATCTAAGAGTTGGTAGGGTGTTAGACTTTCTTTCACACTTCAAAATGTATCAGAGCTGCAGTTCCAAGCTTCACTAACACGATCTCTGATCAACTCAGGGTGGCAGGGCATTTAAAGAACAGGTTCTAGGCTTGTCTATTTCCAGGGACGTGTCACTCTTCTGGTCAGAAAATCAGAACTCAAACCATTCAACACCTGCATTAATGACCTCTACTAAGGGAGAGAGAATCTGAAAACACAGCCTTGAATGTACAATTAACTCAAAGCATGGAAGTTCAACATTTGAAGCTTAAGGGCAGCTCAGACCTAAAACTCCCCAAACAGCAGCACACAGTGAACCAAGTGCCACTAGGGTTTTGTGGGCTTCAGCTCCACAGGCATACTACAAAAAAAGCCCTTCTAGGATGTTCCAGGTATTCACATCGAAGAATGACTCCAATAGGAGGGTAAGAGTTGTGTGTGCGTGGTTCCTCACCTCTCCCCACAAGGTACGGGGGTCATAGAGGTAAGCTGAGTTCATAAATAATTGGTGATTCCATACTGGATGACCATAAAGGAAAGATAAAAATAAAAGAGCTGATGCGGGTAGCAAATGTGTAGATATGTGCTTTAGGTACCATTACCTCTGGTGAGAAGCTTTGAAATATTGAAAAATATATAAAAGACAAAGTTTTACCCCTGGCTTAAGACTCATGACATAACTCTACAGACCTGTAGTTGACCTACCAGTATTTGTCCTTGGTTCCTTGATTCATTATTAATTTGTGGTGTAAAGATCTTTGAACTGTAACTAACACATGAGATACTTCTCACACTCCTTAACTCAGCTGCCCACATTGCTGTCATTTTTCATTATTTCATGCTTGACCTCCATTTCTGCAATTTAGAATTCTTTTTTCTCAAATATTTTTTTTTGTCAACAGACTAAAGGAATTGCAAAACCATACCACAACAAATGGAAGGGGAACTGAAGCAAAAGAGAAAGGAGGAAATAAGAGTGATTAAATGGATAATGTTATTTACAAAAAAAATCACTGGTTCAGGCTGACATTGTTTGTGCTAGCAGAATGAGAAAGAGAAGGAAGTACTGTATCTCAGTCTCCACCCTAGTGTTCAAAATAGATGTATGGGTTGCCGTTAGAGATCTGCTATTACATTCCTTCCTTAAGAAATCTTTTAATCATTTTTGTTTTTTTATAGGAAAGTGTTTTTTTTTTTTCAATTTCAACAATGTTTTGAAAAACATAAAAGATGGCTTTTATCATGGTCAATCTACCTGTATTTCAATTTCAGAGAGAGCTCCTTGAATGGGAAAGCACTTGAAAACGTCCTGTTGCAATAGTGGCCATTGTAATACAACCAACCACTCAGGAGAGAACAGACACCTTGATTGGAGCACAGTATAGGGGTAATTATATAGGAACTCAGACCTTACACAACCATGCTGGTAATGACGTGTGGCCAACATGGCCACATTGTATAGACACTGGAACAGAAGAGATACTGTATAGACTTCTAAGAGTTACTGAATGCTGAAACTATATGCAGTATAAGACAGTTGTGAGAGGAATCGATTACACCCATCTTACTCATTTGTATACTAGGAGCTGACTGATCTGCTGATCTCATGTAGCCATTTTTTAATGGTTCTTTGAGAATTGGCTTCAGCATCACAGCTTGGCAGATTCTTCCAGACATCCATGCCTTTTATTCTGAGTCCTAAGTATACTCCCTCATAAATTTCAGTTCTGCCGTCAAAGTTTTGTTTCTCTGGTTAACATAATCCATTCAGCAGAATCTGTCAAGACCTTTAAGGATTGTGTGCACTAGTATCATGTCTGTTACTGTTCAAAACTCAAGAGATTCAATTCATGACCTAAATTTAATTAATTTGCACTATGTTTGACATTACCTTTAATCTTGGAATTATTCATATATAACACTTATCACTTAAATATAACCAATCACTTATTTGTAGCATTGTTATCATTTGTAATGCACTTTCTGCATACAAATGCAGTGCATACTGTACATTGTAAACAATAGCATTTAAGTCTAAAATGCATTATTTTTACTATAGCAATTTTTACTAAAGCATTTATGTTTTACATTTATTTATCTGGCAGATCCTTTTATCCAAAGCAACTTACAATCATGTCTGGTTAAGACTGAATGGGTGTATAAAACATGAATATTAAACCACAGAACATAGTAAGCGCAGTGTCATTTAAAGGCTAGGGTGTTGCACAGCGCTTCCGAACAGACAGGCAGTAGTCATATAATAGTCAGTGAGGATCAATCTCAGACTTCCTGGGTCAGGTGTATCCTGCCGAGGTGAGTGTTCAGCTTCTTGCAGGGGATGGACAGAGAGCCTGTAGTTCTGACTGTGGCAAGGAGGTCATTCCATCACTGGGAGGCCAGTGCAGACAACAGCCTGTACTCACAGGCCTGATGAAACAGATCTCAGTTGGGAACATACCAAGGTTTTGAACCTAATGCAGGCCGCAGCCTGAAGGCAATGCAGAGAGACAGGGGAAACATGAATGGTTTAAGGAGGCTGAAGACTAGGCAGGCTGGGGCATTGTGCATGAGCTGGAGTGGTCTGCTGGTACATGCAGGGAGATGTGACAGAAGGGAACTACAGTGGTCCAGCTCTGAGATGACTTAAGCCTGGATGAGTAGGTGAGTTGAGCAGGTAGTAAGGTATGTGCAGATGTTTCAGATTGTGGATAGGAGGACATCCACAGGAGTGAGTCATAGATGTACAGTACTACCTGTATGTAAACACGGAGTTGTTGTCAGTGCTAAATAACAACGTTCTTGGCGCTTGTGGTGGAGTTTTTTATGGCTGTACTTTGGACAGGGTTATAGTGGGTTCACAATTAAGTGAAGGCTTGGCCAGGATGTGGTAGCTACCTTTTCCTCATAGAACCTGGGTGATACCGAGAAAATATTCTAGCAGGGATATCAATACAGAGTTTGTTGTTTTTGGATTTTGTTGCAATATGTATGATAATACCACTTCTTAAACTGCCAGTAAAATGAAGCTGACTGCATAGGGCTCATCTTGATAGCAGTAGCACAGCATGTTAAACTGCTACAGAAAAGCTGACATGTCCTGTAGGGAAACAGAAGTGGCTGAGAACAGCTTTTGGCATAAGGCCAGTAACAGCACGCTGTCCCACATTAAATGTTGTTATAGCAACCATCAAAGGTGAATAAAAAAATAAACCTGTATACACATCTTCAATGACTGTATCCCTTCTCTTTTCAAATGAAAATGCTATTATTGTATATTATTAATTAATAATAATAATAATAATAACAACAACAACATTTCCACATGCCAGGAAAGGCATTGGTGGTTACAAAATGGAAGGATTATCTTATTTCCATATACATATAAATCATGGTATCAGGTATTTGGCATCACATACAGTGACAACATACCCTATGTGAATACATTCTGAAACTCCTTGTTTTGTGAACAGAAACTTTACATTTATGTTTAGATTATGTATTTAAAGACCAATAAAAATGAGCAAATAAAGATGACATAAGTATGCTACACATTACTTCTGAAAGCATATTAAAGCCTTCTGTATATGAAGACTTTTAGTTCCTGCATACAAATACAGTATATAAACAGCTACAGTAAATATTGTAAATAACCCTTATCTTTTCTGAGATGTACAGGCAAAACAAAAAAACAAAATCTGTGCAAGTTTACATTAGACACATAGAGCATCTATATGGAAAAACATGTTTGTTTTCCATTCACACTGGCACTAGAAGGCATTTATGTCAGAGGAAGTGAAAGCTAAACATCAGAATTGATTCAAATCAATCTAATTGTTCCTTGCAGCTCTATTTCTATCAGATCAACAATGAAAAACATTCCATTTTGTT